ATAAATCAAGTAGTTTTCTTATATTCTGTGCAACGTATTAATATATCATAATTAAAAAAATATAGTTATGTATAGAATCATCTTTTTTATTATATTTTTTTAAACTCCTTTGCGAAATGTATTATACACATATATTTTTATGATTTTAAAGGATCTCCCAAATTATGCATGTGTGCTGTCCCCCCAACACATGCATTGCTTGGTGGAATAATATTATTATTATTATTATTTAGAAGAGATTGAAGCATATATGAGAAGTGCTCTCTGATCATCTGCAATCTTCGAAGACACATTGATGCTCATGGAGATCTTAGTTGGGTCTCTAGAAGATCCAATTAGTTGGATACAGAAATCTTTATTGCCTTTTTAATTAAGCTGGCTTTTGATGAAGTTCATCAAGTGCATTAATTTATTGTTTATAGCGTGTAGAAAGATAAAGGAATTAAAATTATAAAGTATAACTAAGAGCCGCATGTAATGCTATATATTTTAAATCAAAACTAGTGAAAATCTACAAAGATAAGTTGGTACAATTAATTAAGGATTCGAATAAAAAGCTCTTTTTTTTTAATTATTAAATCTTAAATCAGTTTTGGTAACAACACTTTAATAATAAGTTTTTTACAATATTAAGCTTACAAATAACAAGATATTTTTGTAGAAATTAAGATTTAGTAATATCAATATTTTTTTGTAAATTTTGTCCTCTTTTTGTTTGAATGATGAGAGAGATTCTTTAAATTAAAACCCTTATGAAGCTCACCACATCTAACCATTAAGACAACCCATGTGGACAAAACCTTGAGTTTTCCTAAAATTATGATCCTAAATATAAGATCTAATTTATAATACAAATTATACTATAAATTATATCTTATATTTATGACGGGAGGTAAGTTAGCCAGCATTCATCACAAGAGAAAAAGGCCTCTCGTTTGATGCCCAAAGCAACTATAATTAGATAAATCTGCTTTATGTAGCTTACTCTTCCGATCGAGATGAGTCATTTTTTCCCAGCTTGGAAAGAAATCCGTCGATGTGTTGTTTAATGTGCTAGTGATGAAGAAGATTTTAATAAACGTACGTTTGGGAGGGGACGGATATAAGGATATAACCAACCACTCACACTCCTTCAAGTTGAAAGTTGGGTATATATATGTTATTCCTTTAATTTAGTGCAGAACCGCATCCGTGATTGGATTAATTAGCTAGGCCAAGATAATTAAGTAGTAATAAGTGTGTATATATAGTTAACTAACAATAATTACATATTTGAACAGCTTGGCCATGGATGGGCTAGATTCTTTTTCATTTGAAAAGGCAAATTACATATATGTCCAGAGAGGTGTAAGTATAATATAATATATATAATGGGAGAAAAGCAGGCAGTCAAGTGTGGTTCGAGATAAGCCACTTGAACTGATTAACCAATCATATTAGCATATGTGAGAAGAGATTAAGTTGGCTAAAAGATAAGTTATTTAGTGGCATTTTCTTAAGCAACGATTTGTTGTGTACATGATCTTTAATTTAATGCTAGCTGGGCTTCCACAAATATAAATATATTAATGGGATAAAAGCGAGAGAGCTATATATGGAAGGAAGGTTTAATTTGAAGGGTATATATGACTGGTAATAACAGATTTAGTGCAGTCCTAATTAAGGTTTCAATTGGTCCAATCTCACTGACTTAACATTTCCATTTCCGCTAAAAATCTACAGATATTTATATACTTTATAACGAGCTTAATATAAGAGGTGATTGGGATATTTATTTTGATGATTTGATTTTAATTAAATACAAAATCTCAATTCATTTTATCTTTTAAATTTATAATTTTATTTCCAAACCATCCTTATTGATTACATATAAAGTTTAAATTAAAGAAGGTACAAAGACACCAATACACATATACTACAAATAACTAATTTAACTAATTCTTTAATGTCTATAAATTAATTATTTAGCTCCGTTCACTAATGCAAAAACACTAATTTAACTACATGATTTCACATCAGTTATGTGAGTAGGAGATATTTGTTTTAACTGCTGCTAATAAACCATGAACCCGAATCCTGTATAGTTAGAAAGGGCTCATGTTTACACACACACACACTACCTCCGGTCCTAATTATAAGAGCCGGTTGACTAATTTGAGGAGATTAAGGAAGTAAGTTGAGTTAGTTATTTGTCATAAATATGTGTTATCTTTCTTAAAATATTCTTACTAATCAAGTGTATTGACTAGAACTCTTATTATTAGAAGAGCTACTTTAGAAAAAAAAAGTATAAATATGAGAGACAAAGTGGATTGAGATCTTATATTTAGGACCAAAATAAAAGTCAAACAGGATCTTGTATTAAAGACCAGAGGTGGTATATAAAATATAAACAGACACGTAACAGATGCCACTTGAGCTTTTACATATGTGCGCGCGCGCACATTATTATTAAAATTGAAATTGTTCTTTTCAGATAGCTTACTAGTGGCAAGCACTGAATCCACCCACACTCAGTTAATGAATATCCCTCTTTTGATAACAAAATCTTTGATACCTAATTGTTACTTAAAAAGGTAAATTAAGCTGAGACTAGTTTGGTATATAATGGGCAAGTTTCATGCACATTAATTAAATAAATAAAAATATCAACAAGCGATCGATGTTGGTATAAGAGAATAATAAGAAGTGAGAGCTCCTATGTGTCCGAGGCGCGAGCTTTAATTTCTGACATAAACCTATTTATACCTTTCTATATTTTGCTATTAGCCTCAATTTCATGTGGCTCTTTGCATTTTGATTTCTTTTCCGAAAGCCGTTTGCGTGTGTGAATTCCAGGGAGACTCTAAAACAGGGGAATCATCATCTTATGTGTGAATCTGATTGGATGTTTATAGCATATATATTCATATTAATTCTTTATCATGATTCTTGCACATATAGATAGATATGTGTGTGTGTGTGTGTGTGAGCACCCCACCACTCAAATCGCCAGGTCAAAAGCTTCAATGCCCCCCACTTTCTGTGGCTTCATCCTCTTCTCCCTTAATTTTCACATTAATGCAATTGAGATGATATATAGATTGAGGAGTACAATAAACCAAAAAAAAATTAATACTTCTCTGGTTCTTAATATAAGACTTAATTGTTGAGTTAATTTTGATCTTAAATATAATATCTATTTCTCATATTTATTAATTTTTTTTCTAAATTACCCCTATGGATACTCCCTCAACCATAATCAAGTAGAAGAAGGAGAGAGGATATTAAGAAAAATGATTATGATGTTTTAAGAAAAACATATCATATTTTTTAAAATTAATTAACTTACCTAACTTCATTAAACTAACCAAATTAGTTAAATATATCTTATATTAAGGACCGGAGGAGTATGTTATTTGGGTTCGCATAATTTGGAATTTGTACAAAATAACGCCCAAGCTCTTCTACCCCTAAATTAGAACTTCTTTTCTTTAAGCTGTGTCCAAATCAAACCCTCCATCTTAGAGATTTGAATGACTTGAAATCTTCACTTGATCTAATTCAGATAACTCAATCACCATTAGCTTACCAAGTAGTTTATACTGCCTCCGGTCCTAATTATAAAAGCCAGTTGACTAATTTGAAGGGATTAAGGAAGTAAGTTGAGTTAGTTATTTGTCCTAAATAGGTATTGTCTTTCTAAAATATCTTTGTTAATCAAGTGTATTAACTAGAATATCATTGTTAGAATGGCTACTTTGAAAAAAAAAAGTATAAATATGATAGACAAAATGGATTGGGGTTTTATATTTAGGACCAAAATAAAAGTTAAACAGGATTTTATATTAATGACCGGAAGTAGTATATAACAACAACATGAATTGCCAATAGTATTCGTCTCTGTTCGATCGTTGAATATTCTTGTCAATTGTGAAATGAAATTGGCATGCTTACGTACATAATTATTACTCATAATATGTGGGACTTGGTGTTTGACTAATAATTTCTTGAACCTAAATTTATTTTCATTTGCCATTAATAATGATAACAGCCTGACACAGTTTTCTTCTTTCATTGCGGGCAACATGTACAAGAACTTAAAGGAAAGAGAACTGCTGGGTCAAGCATGCAGCTAAACAAACTACTCCTCTAGTTCCTAATATATGACCTAATTGTAAGTTAATTTTAGTCCTACATATAATACCTATTTCTCATATTTATTAATTTTTTATAATTTCCCTTATGGATATTTTCTTTACTATAATCAAGTAGAAGAGAGAGAGAAGATATTAAGAAAAATAATTATGGTGTTTTAGAAAAAATATATCACATTTTTTATAATTAACTAACTTACCTAACTTTCTTAATCTAATCAAATTAGTTAAATAGATATTATATTAAAGACCAGGAGTATAATATAATATAATAACGAAGTTGTTTCTTCACTTTTTTTTTTTGCCAATCTTTTTTTGGTTAGAAAAGGCAAGTTGTCTGCAACTCTGCATACAAGTAGCAGTAAAGCTGGCCAATTAACAAAGCTTGTAAGTTTCAAGAGCACGCACTTTCTTTTTCTCTTGCATCATGAACAGAGATATGTACCATAGCACTAATTCATTAGTTCACGTAATAATGTTTTTGAAGAGGCCAATCAGTGATAAGGAAGGTGAATTAGCAATATATATATATATATATATATATATATAACTATATTCTTTCGTGGTTGCCAAAAAAAAAAAAACTCTATTCTTTCGTGCCTTTGATGGGCATCTTGACCAAAACCCATATATATCTGGGTGTGTATTCATGTGGAGCCTTCAAACCACTTCAGTCCTTTTTTAAATTATTTATATATATCTTTTACTAAAAAAGATAACACTTTTACAATTGAATGGCTTATTAAGGATATTGAACCCAACAAGTTAAAGACCACCAGCTGTGTATAAATACCCACACATGCATTCGCCCCCTTTGTGTCAAGATCATCAAGAGACTCTTTGTTGAGTGTTTCATCAAAGATACATACTTATTTATATACATATACATATATGGCTCCAAACAACCTTACCGAACGTCAAGCTTTCGACGACATCGAGGACCCCTCTAAATCCTTTGACGACGACGGCCGTCCTAAACGAACTGGTACGTACATCTGATCTCCTACGTTTTGGTCTTTCCCACAAAAAAAAAAAAAAGAAACACACACACACACAGAGGAACGTTATTGTGCCTATAACAATGGATCAAAGCTGAAGATACTGAATTGACGATGTTGATGAGATTGCAGGAACAGCATGGACGGCGAGTTCGCACATAATAACGGCGGTGATAGGATCTGGTGTGTTATCCTTAGCGTGGGCCGTAGCTCAGCTCGGCTGGATCGCCGGTCCTTCTATAATGCTCTTATTCTCCTTCGTTACTCTCTATACTTCTTCCTTGCTTTCTGATTGTTATCGTGTCCACGACGCCGTTTCTGGCAAGAGGAACTACACCTACATGGACGCTGTCGCTTCCATTCTAGGTACCTACCTATTGTATACTTCTCCTTTAATATATTTAGTTAATTTTCGTAGAAGTCCTTTGATGATATGATTAATGTTTATGTTTGATACGTGCAGGTGGAGTTAATACGAGGTTGTGTGGGATATTTCAGTATCTGAATCTTGTGGGTGTTGCAATAGGATACACAATCGCAGCTTCAATCAGCATGAAGTGAGTTCTATATTATATTGTTGTTACCAAACGTAGATATCAGTGTTTATATCAGTAGTGAACTTATTATTAGGTAAGATAATATTGTTTGATTAACGTTAATTGGTGATTTTTTTTGGGGAGACAGGGCAATCAAAAGGTCAAATTGTTTGCATGAGAATGGCATGGAAAAGGGATGCAACATGTCAAGCAATCCCTACATGATAGGTTTTGGGGTAATTCAGATATTTCTGTCTCAAATACCAGACTTTGATCAAATTTGGTGGCTCTCTATAGTTGCTGCAATCATGTCTTTTACCTATTCCACCATTGGCCTCTCTCTTGGACTTGCCAAAGTGGCAGGTAGTTAATTATTATATTGAATTATATATATTTATATATATATATATATATATGCTTCCTTCATTATTACAACAATTGTTTATTATTATTTGGGATTTTATTGAGCAGAAAGTGGTAAGATTAAGGGCAGCCTCACAGGAATAAGCATAGGGACTGTGACTCAAACCCAGAAAATATGGAGGAGTTCCCAAGCTCTTGGTGATATAGCCTTTGCTTACTCATATGCTGTTGTCCTCATTGAAATTCAGGTATATATCCTCTTTTCCTTTAAAATTAAAATAATAACTATCAAAATTTACCCCAAAAAAAAGGCTAAATTTATATGTAAAAAATCCTACATCCAAAAAAAAAATTACCTAATAAAGAACAATAATAAATATATTATAATAACAGTCTTCTGAACTTATATATGTAGGACACCATAAGGTCTCCACCATCAGAAGCAAAATCAATGAAGAAAGCGACAAAGATAAGTATCGCAGTGACCACAACGTTCTACATGTTATGTGGCTGCATGGGCTATGCTGCTCTCGGAGACAAATCGCCTCCCAATCTCCTCACTGACTTTGCTTTCTCCAACCCCTTTTGGCTTCTCGACGTTGCCAACGTCGCCATAGCCGTCCACCTCGTTGGAGCTTACCAAGTTTTCTCTCAACCCATCTTCGCCTTCATCGAGAAACAAGCCTCACAGAGATTTCCCGGAAACCAAGTCTTGAACAAAGAATTCAAAATCCCATTACTTCCTGGTTTTGCTCCTTACAATCTGAATCTGTTCAGGTTGGTTTCGAGGACGTGTTTTGTGGTGCTCACCACGTTGGTCTCCATGTTGCTTCCGTTCTTTAACGACGTTGTGGGGATCATGGGGGCGTTAGGGTTTTGGCCTCTGACTGTGTATTTTCCGGTGGAAATGTATATTCGACAGAAGAAGATAAGAAAATGGAGTGGGAGGTGGGTTTGTATGCAGATCCTGAGCATGGCGTGTCTGGTTGTGTCCATTGTGGCTGTTGTTGGATCACTGGCTGGTGTTTTGCTTGACCTCAAGAAATACAAGCCATTCCAATCTAACTATTGAGTGATTATATATCCCTTTTTGTTTGTGTCATGTACTGTGTTGCGTAATATCCAAGCAATATGAAAGCTTTACCTTTGATCATCATCAGAAGTGTATTTGAGTTATATATTATAATTACTGGCTCCCATATATTTAATTAATTGTGATTACAATATGTCGTATATGTAAGCATTTCGAATCTGATAATTAGCTCCAGGATATCCTTATAGAACCAGGTATGAATATGTTATGTTATACTAGCTAGCAGCTTATAGGTCTGAAGGTAGTACTATTACCTTAGATCTTAAAAGATATCAGGGTGTTTGACGGAATTACTTGAACTTTCTTTTTTCTTTTTTCTTTTTTAATAATCCAGAGTAACCTCAACTCACTTTGGGTTTAAGATTAATCTCTGTTAAGACGAGAGTGTTAAGATTAAGTACCCCTCCATAAGGGCACTTCTCAAGCTTTAAATTTGTGTTCTCTTCCTGATGAGGACAAGATCACTTACCACCTCAACTAATAGTTTGTTGATAATTACCTTGAAATTTCTACTATAAAAAGAAATGCTGAACTCGTTTTGAGGTTCTTCTACTGTGAAATTTCCTGGTTATTAGAGTTTGTTTTACCTCTTTGTATTAAAAAAAAAAAGGAAAGAAAAAAAAAAGCGCGTTCTACTTCCGCTAGGGCCTTGAAAACTCGAAATATCTTAGCCCACCTGTCTAAGTTCTGTATTTAATTTTTCTGAATATTTCAACTTATTTTCAGTTTGAGACTGGGAAAAAGGGCAAAGCGCCGAAGCCATCAACGACTCCACCACATCCTTCTTGAAGACTTGTATAATTAAAGGCTATCACGTGCTTGCCACGAGTATGACCAACAGAATATGAGAAGAAGAAAGAGAAAAACATGAAGATTCTTCATCTCTTAATTGTGAGACATGCCTGGAAATTTTGATATTTAACATTTCTGATTCCTAACTTAGAAGTAATGAACATGCAGTACTTACACGTCACTACCAGAAATTATCAAGCATGCTTAGTTACATGAAGCCAACGAGACTCTCATTATATGCAAGGTATTCAATATCGATACCACATGCCGGCTTCATAGTATCTTTGTTCACATGCAAGATGGAAGTTCAAGGTTCTAACATATGATGACTATACCAAATGTGGGCTATCATTCACTTGTATAAGCACTTTTGTTACAAAGTTGACAGTGACTGGTTTCAGTAATGTGGTAGAGGATACAAACTAGCATGTGGGTTTCATTGAGCCAGAGACTAGGGAACATTATTTAATGAACACCACCGATAATATCAAGTTTGGATGCATATGCTGGAAGGCTTGTGTGAAGAACGTGAAGTGCGTGCTCCCACATTTTGATCTCAATCCACTGGATGGGGTGTATGTATATATATTGAATAAATCGTATTATATATCACAAGTAATCAAATGGACAGACCAAAAAAAAAAAAAAAACAGACCACTCATGAGCCCTCACTTAGATAAATGAATAAAATTGACATGAAGAGGGATCCCCACAACGATATTTTACATCTTAACAGGACATGCCACATTCATAAACAGGTGTGGAAACCCCAAAGTAACAACCCCCTGGAACAACGTCAACTCTCCCTCAGCCAACCCTCACGGACGGAAGCAATATTTTGAAAACTTGCCCACTTGAACCTCAATCCACACCCATGCAATGAGGGAGGCGGCTGATAAAACGGATGTCCCCGTGAACAAATTTCTTTCAACTCGCTAAGCTCATCAGAAATTAGAAAAGCTCCTCTGAATTGAACTTATTCCATGCTTCCTGTTCCAAATTATCAAACTTTTAAGGCAAGGATGACATCATCACATTAAAAAAAACAAAAACATACAAATTAGCGTCCACCCCCCCCCCCTTTTGTTTTCCCTGTCTGACGAGCAAGCAAAGCCACTAAGGGATATAAAATGGCTTACTCTGCCACATATTCATGCCGCTGGTTACTAAATTCCTTGTTTAATAAGAAATCAAAGATTAAAACATCAAAAAGTGGTAAACTATGCAATGGACCGCAGTACCTTGAGTAGATCAAACACCTTCTCTGCAACATATTTCTGTTGTAAATTGGCACCCTTCTGCTGCACCTTATCAGGATGGATGCATAATGTGGCTTTCCTATAAGCCTTTTTAACTGACGCGGCTGTGATCAAATCAGTCAAAGAAACTGGCTGCCAACCACATTCAGGCCAAAGCACCTAACCATTCACGTAGAAAACAAGTCAATGCAAGTTCGCACAACTTGTAAAATAAAAACCAATTGAAAATTCCAATACCACTTTAAAAACACAATTACCTGATACCATTTTTTTCTTTCAAAAATCAAGGAAACTTTTCCAGATGCAATAAAAAACTTTTCAAAACAAGAATGTTGTCTTGTTTCCACTGGATTTACAGTCAATAACAAGTACATGATCACAAGGTGTTAAAAGTTCCTTGTCGAATTTTATTTATAGACTCTGTTGTAAATAGAATAAGTTCTAAGAATACAGTTGTACTTTGCTCTTAGCTCTAGGGGCACAATTGTAAATTCCCTTAGCCTTTGACGTGTAGATACAGGTCCTCAACTCTTATAAAGGAATTGGCGTTTCTATCAAGGAGAATAATCATTCTCTATTATTTCTCCAATCAATTAATACAATGATCTCTTTATGCGAGCTTACTTAAGATGTGCAGGGTATAATCAATGAGAAATAACAAGAATTGCTATAGTTTCTTAGCAACCAATATGATTGGAAATTGCTACCGGAGGGAACTGAACTATCAAAAATCCATATGTTAAGTACATACATATTGTAAAGTGGAGAGCAAAGCACGCAAGTTCCCCTCTTTTCCTGCAGCCCACCGCTTAATTTCAAAATCCAACGTTTCAGCAAGCCTCTGCAATCAATTCATGGATAAAATTAAGGACAACTAAAATTTTCACCAACCAAAAAAAAAAAAAAAAAAACTAAAATCTTGATATTATCACCAGCTTGCAAAACTTGATGAAAGAAGCATTGACACGACTCGGAATAATAAACATTAAAATAGAATATGCACTATCATTAAGTACATACAGGTAAACACATGGTGGATTTTCAACCAAAAAAATAGTAGATTGATTGGGCAAAGAAACGCAGTGTATCGGAAAATAATTTTCTAATTTGAAAATAACACAGGTACACATTCATATAATAGATCCTAAGGCCTGCCAGGGACTACTTACATGTCTCTCAGCTTGCTCTCTTTGTGTTTGCAAGTCTCGCTGATTCTTCTCAGCCAATGCTTTTGCCTAGCATAAAAGGACAGCAGGCATTACATCAACAAACATGTAAAAAAGACCCTGTCTACCTTACCTCTCCTTTCTTTCAAACAAAAATGAAGATATCTAACAGAAAAACTAAAGGAACACATACTGCTCGCTCCTGAGTCCTCTGGTGGCGCTCCAACCTGGCTCTTCTTCTTTCTTCGCTTTCCCCTTCAATATCTTGAAACTCTCCTGATGATGGAGCAGCTGTATCCCATGAAAGAGAGGGTTCGATAAGAACCAAGTAATCAAGACATGACACAAGAATTCAAAACACTGCCACATCAATAAACATCACAATAAAAATGTTAAAACTACCTCCAAAAATTGAGGAAAGGTCATCAACAATATTAACTGACGATGATACTTTCTTCATGCTCGTAGATGCCCCAGTTGATTTCCTTGTATCTGCCTGAAATTGGGTATCAAATAAAGAATCCTGAAAAAGTCCATGTTCAAAATATTAATATCTAAACTTGCAGTAGTATCAGATAAAGTTTCACAGAAACAGGTTCTCACTGAAGAGCTAGCCCTAGGAGGCCTTGGAGCACTGCTAGCTCTTGTACCCATGCCAAAGAAAGATTCAAGATCATTTTCATTCTTTTGTTGATTCATCCTTGCAGCAGCTGCAGCCCTTTCTCGTGCCTCAGCAGCAGCCCTTTCTCTTGCCTCAGCAGCAGCCCTTTCCACAGCAGCACGTTCTGCTCTAGCTCGTGATTCAGCTTCAGCCCTCGCAGCTGCTCTATCCCGTGCTTCCCTCTCCTTTGCTTCAGCTCTTTCCCTTGCTTCTGCAGCAGCTCTTTCAGCCCTTTCCCTTGCCTCAGCAGCAGCTCTTTCACGGGCCTCAGCTTGCGCTCTCTGAACGGCAGCCCTTTCAGCTCGCTCTCGAGCTTCAGCATTAGCTTTTCCAACAGCTGCCCTCTCAGCTCTTTGACGAGCTTCGGCAGCTGCTCTTTCACGTGCTTCTCTTGTAGCTCTTTCTACAGCCTGTCTTGCCATTTCTCTTTCCCTCTCACGTCGCTGTTTCTCTTTTTCTTTCTCCTCCTTTTCCCTTTCAAGTCTTCTTTTCTCTCTTTCCTCCCTCTCTCTTTGCTGTCGTTCACGATCTAGCTTTTCCTGTTTCTCTCTCTCTTCCTGCACAGCTCTCTCATCTCTCTCAAATGGCCCAGCTTCTCTGCTTCTGGCAGCCTTGGTACTCTCTCTCTCCCTAACTTCCTTTGCATGCCTGAATTTGGCTTCAGCCCTATCCATAGCCTCCTTCATAGCAGCAGCAGCTGAATTCATCTCTAATTCTTCATCAGGAACACCACCTTCATGCTCATCATCATAATTATAAGTCCCGTCTGCAGCAAAATCCTCATGTTCATCAAACGGAGATGTAGAGGAAACTCTTGCTGCAGCAGAAGACTTGGGACCCTGGGAGAATCCAGTGGAACTAGGAAAAGATGAAAATTCACTAGCTTTCCTTCTAGCATTGGCAGATCCTGATTTAGAAACTTGTACAGGTCTTGGAGGAGGAGGTCTTGAAGGTGGGGGAGCAGCCGTTGGTTGTGTAAAAAGAGGAATCTCAGATACTGTCAGCCACACATCATTAAATGATTCCAAATTTTCTTCAAATTCTGGAGAAGTGTCCGTCTGAATATTGGCCTCTTTAAAACCATCATTATCATATGAAGGGGAAGAAGCCCGTTGGCCAACTGGTTTACTAGAATCAGATGATGAATATGTAGGCCCATCAAAGGGTGTCTGTGGAAATCCCCAATCATGGCCAACAGGAAACTTGTTTTGTGAGTGTCTCTCAGGACTCTTCACAGAAGATTTCTCATCTGGTTCTTTGTCTCCAGCCCAACCTGAGCTTGCATTAGTCTTTGGAGGACTGGTATCCTTTCTGTTATTTCTCTCTGATGAGAATGCAGGTACTGATTTTCCAAGCCCATCGAAGGGATCAATATCATCATATACTCTGCCATTAGAATTTGAAGAACTATCATTTTGTGTGCTTCTGGAACTACTAAATTTACCAATTTCTTCCAAAGGATCAGTAAAGTGGCCTGCAGACTCCATTGGGGTTGAAGCTGATTCAAATACTTTGAAAGGATCATCTGTCACACTGGAGGTTGTTTTAGATTCCGTGGTAGTTTGCTCTGAGGAGAAACCAATATCAGGAGCAGGCCTGTGAATAGGGCAACGCATAAAAGTTATGGTGATATGTCAATCAATATGTTAAAATACAAAATTCCATAACAACCACAACAAACCAGTCATCAAAACGGGGTAGCGATAAATGTTACCTGTATTTAACAATTTATTCAACTTAAACATGGCACTGCAGGTTTTACTTCTGCATAAATTCAGCCTTTTCAGTCCGAATTGATACATGGCATTGCACTTATTAATGGTAAACAAAATTGAAGAAAGATATTCTCGAGTGTTTGATATAAGTTATATCACATTACTTATATCAAATAAAAATGTAACCAGTTTTCCTAGATGAGGAGTTCCTTATTATGTTGAAGAAAGAAAAGAGATTATGATATTCTCATTTCAGAAGCCACCAACAAAGCCATTCCTTTTAATGGTATTTTACTATCATCCTGTCCACTCTTGGCAACGTCAAAGCAATAACATCATAAGCATCCAAATAACTTGCACTTACAGCACTACTTTCAGTTAATCACATAATCATAAATACAAGGGTGAATCGTGATGTCTTTATTCCAAGTTATTTAGGGCTCTTTGATTCAAATATCTGCCGGATAGATCATGGCAAAGATCAAAGTTGTGCAGACATTATATTTCGACCACATATAATGTAAAAATCCATATGCATGTACACATATAACTTCAAAATATATCAACATTAATTGCGTGATTAAAACAGTGAGCTCCTAGAATCACCCAAGTAAATATCTCACTCCCAAACAGAATGTTCACACTTCACAGAAAAGGGTCATATAGTCAGCAAAACAAGGTCCCATAGAGCAGCCCCATGGGCCTATTCCAGTTTAACGACCTTCAAGTAACAAAATCCAAACAACTAAAACTTCAGACAGGCATAATAAACACATAATCAGTAAAAAATTGTAAATCCCTTGAGACATTGATAAATCAAATTTAGGGATCCTAATTCCTCATCGAATTGCAGTAATAACTAGCAGACAAAGAATTTTCAACATGTTCAGCATGCATAGCGGTGGATTTTCATATTCAAGGGGATAAATATAGAAGAATGCTCTAAGAGCCTTCATGAGGAGAAGCTGCTATTAAGTAATCTCAATGTAATACATGATCGTCAAACATTTCAGGAAGGACTGCAAACCATCCAGTTGGAAACATGAATTGAAACTGAATCATGATACAGACGTTTACTACAGAAAAACTTCCTTCCCCAACTGTGTTTAAGGATTAATATCTCATCAAAAGCATTAAGAAAATCTGTTATTATTATGCACAATTGACAATATTAACATATCATCGGATAGAAAGAAATTGTCACATGTAAAAGCTTCCATCAGAAGAATTTAACAATTCCAGTGGATTAATTGGTTTTTTTTATTCTTTTTTTCTGTGTATGCCTCTGAAAATTAGAATGACGATCTTTTGGCATTTGGTTCTCTGAGACACTGGACTGAATGGGTACACGCTAAAAAGCAACAAAATCACGGCATACTTGATCACTAAGTAGAATTATGTATCTAAAATACAGCTTAATGTACGCTTTTAACGGCAATAGACAGACAGACGAGCACATGGTAACACGAATATTTTACATTTTCAGGCCGATATATCAACATGCTAATGAACATAGAATCTCATCTCAGTAACTGAAGAATAAAGTTGTTACCGTACCTTTCACTATGGATTCCACTTCCATCAAATCCAGGAATCAAACCGTCAAAATCTTGATTATTTTTGTCATCCTTCTCCGATCTCTTCTCATCATGCCTAGACTGACCGAACCCACCCAGAAGATCATCCAATGCGCTACTACTTCTTTCTGGGGCCGAAGATACCGATGCAAAAACATCATCATAATTAGCTGTAGACGAGCTTTTTAACCCCGGGACGCCGACGAAAATGTCATCGTCATAGACAGGTTTGTCATACACAGGGGGGTTCATAGACTTGGAACCAAAATCGCTGGACCCAGGATACATGGAATCTAAATTGAACGACGCATCAGCTCCGCGACTCTCCGATTTGCTCGAGTATCTCGCAGAGCCCCCCAACAGATCATCGAAACCACCAGTATCTTGATTCTTCTGATTACCCGACGATCTAAACGGCGAATCACCATCATCCATAAAATTACCACCGAAAGAATCAAAGCTACCAGTGGATCGGGATGCACCGCGGGATCCCAAATCGAAGTTGAGGCTTCTACTATTGGGGGCATTCGAAGATCCTTTGGATGCAGCCATTGGGGCCGCTTTGCCCTGCGGTTTGAACCCGAAATCGGCAGCTAAGAGACCGTCGAGATCGTTCATTATGATTACTTAATAATTCCGGCGAATTTGGGGTTTCGTAAACGCAAAATTTTGGGAAAATAAGATATCGAGAGAGGATCTAACAGGGAGTATAGCGCTAAATAAATTCAGCAATAGGAGAGAGATCAATCACTGGGAAGAGAAGAAGCAGAGATCTCGGTGGCAGCGTAGGAGGAAGAGCCTGGGGTTCAAGCCTTGCGATGGACTGAGATGACACGAGAAAATTGAGAAGCCTGAACCAGTCAGAAATTTTAAAATAAAATAAAATAAAACTATTTTCCCCAAGGCCTTGCTTCGTGCCTCTCTCATTGTCCTTGGCTTTTGTCTTGGCTGGCTGTTATTAGAGAATTTTCGTTCTTAAAAAAAAAAAAAGCTTATTTAAATTCCTCAGCCTATTGAAATGAAATTTGAATTTTTATATTTCAGACAAAAGGAAATGTAAGATTATTTTTAAATGACATGCAGAGGCCAGAACATGCACGACACTTTAAGCTTCTTTCTCCTTTATTTTGTCTCAATCTTTTTTTTTTTGGGATCTGAGTCTTACCACATGCACGGTAAGTATCTTTAAATCTAAACTATGGTTTCAGCTCAAAAAAAGTCCATTAATTTTTAAATCTGCAACATTTGCATTATAAAAAATTAGTCAAAACTTCCTGTTAAGAAAATTAACTGTGTAAAAACATCTAAGGATCTAGGGTTTTCAATGATATAATTCATTTTCAGCGTACAGCTCTTTTATAACTCAGTACAATATAATTTTATTTATGTGTAAATATTTTGTCTTACACATAGTTGAAAATAAGTTGTACTATTGTTCTTAAAAAAAAATTCAGATGCTAGTGTCCAATTAATTTTCTAGCCAAATGCTTTTGATCAATTTTTCCTTTAGATTTTTAAATTTTTTAGTGCACAAGGGTGTCACTTTAAAACTAACTATTCAAGCATGATTCTAAATTGTTTTCTTGGACAACGCAAAGCATGGTTCTAAATGAACTAATTAGCTTTACAAACATAACAAAAAGTATGAAGGAAAAAAAGGACTCCTCAAGTCTTACGTAGCTCTTACCAACGCATACTCATCTTTCCCAAAAAATTCTTTAGCTATTGCTCCCTCACAATCAAAATATAAGTTAAATTTTGTTAGAACTGCTTAGTTTTTTTTTTATAAGATAAAAGTAAATTTTATCTAATCATTTAATGAGTTTTTTTAAATTGCTGGTCAAAAAAAAATGAGTTTTTTTAAATTTTAACCTTAAGATATATTCTCTTTTCTCTTTAATTAATTTATATATTGCGTTTTTTACTCTCTTTTTTTTATTAATAAGGGCATATATTAAAAAAAATGTCTTATGTATTTATTGTTTTAGTTATGAATATTATAACATGTGGATGTCCATATCCTCTTCTTCTTCTTCCTCTTTCTCTCAACTTTATCATCAACTCCCACTACTTTCACTAGGCATTAATCTTCCACTACTCCATTACCTTTCCACTATGCCTTTAATCTTGTAATTCCCCCCACTCATATTCATATGGTTTATTGCTCACTATCTATTATTTAAGTACAAATGTAACTTATGTGTAAAACTATACCTATAAATAAGGCATGCTATTGTATTGTAATGCAAGTGAAGGAATACAATATTATTATCTCATTTTCTTGTCTACTTCTCTTCTCCAATCTACTTTCATTGTTGGTTAATTTCATAACATTAAGCTAATTTTAACTAATTTATTGATAAACATAAATTTATAAAGTTTATCCTATATTTTAAACATTTTCAGCTAGAGGGGGTATATTTAACTGTAGATTTGAAATAAGGAATTTTCATTCACAGATGGATCAATATAGTTAATTGGAGAAAGTAAGTAGCTTCATTTGAATATATTTTTATTCATAACAAAAATAATAAACATATTTATAAATCAAATTAAAAATATAGAGGACAAGAAGAAACTTATCTTGGGATGCTACACCATTACTAGAGCAAAAATGGCCAGCAACAGCAAACGAAATTAAATAATATGAAGTCTCAACGTTACCGCCACGCTCCGCAATTCACATTAGGGCATTGTATTATTGAGCGTATACTTAATTACTAAGGTTTCAAAAATTGCTATCGAATTGGGTAAAACAATAACTTAAGGGTCAATGGTTGAATTGTGATCAGATTTACCATGTTTAAGTTAATACTATATTTTTAATTTTACTGTTAAAAATGACATTAAAGTTATAGTGTTTTATAAAATACTATTTTACAAAATTAAATTTATAGGATTGCTTAAATAATTCTTTGTTTTTTATCAATAAATATTTTATTAATATATAAAAATTAGAAGGCGAGAAGATGAGAGGTTATACTCTCTTCAATTTAGAAAAAGAGTATTATTGATTTTTAAATATGTAACTTAAGAAAATTAATGAATATCTTATAATTTAAAAATAAAAATAAATCATTATTATATGTAATACTTGTATAACGGACATAATTATTTTAAAAGTTATAGTTTAATAATAGATAGATATACATATTTTTCTGCATTTTTTCACTAGTTTTCTTTTTTAATGCTTACAAGGTGAATATGTGCATAAACTATAGTTTAGAAATATGATTTAAATTTTTTAACATTAAGAAAAATGAAAAAAAAAAAAAACAAGGCTAAAGTATGCATTTGGTCCTTTGACAAAAAAATAAAACATTGTGTAAAATTAAAGGACTAAAAGTATACTTTAACCCAAAAAATATTGACTGTGTGACCGGTCTTGCACTTCTTCAAGTTAAACCAATTTCCAATTTTGGTTCAACCGATCAAACCGGCAAATCCAATCCAGTTTTTAAAATCTTGTTAATTAGGCCATTTAATTTAATCTTTCATCATTACTAAAATTGTCTTTAACCTTGTAGGACCAAGATCTCTCGTATTTCTTAATTATGGTAGCAGCTGAATTTCTTTTTAAAAAAATTACAATAACAATCAAACCAATTTAGGGGAAAAAATACTATTTCTAATTCTTAATATAAAAGCTCTTTAACTAATTTGGATAAATTAAGAAAACCAGTTAAGTTAGTTATTCGTAATAAATAGATGTTATATTTCCTAATATATCCTTGCTAATTAAGTGTATTGGTTAAAACTAACATTATTAAAAGGACTACCTTAAAAATAGATAAATATGATAGATAAAGTATATTGGGGTTTTATATTTAGGACCCAAGTAAAAGTTAAATAAACTATTATATTAAAGACTAGAGCTAGTGTATGGTAATCAATATCGACAGTAATTAATATAGTTCCCTGGTTACCTATAAGTGTTGAAAAAACTAATTTTCTTAAGATAAAAAGAGTACAAGATTTTTTTTTAGCTACTAAATAAGAGTAAAAGATAAACCCCCAACAAAGTTAGGAATTAAATTTTCAATGACTTGTTTTTTTTTGGGGGGGGGGGAAGGGGAACCTTTATCACTTACATCAATTCAAGTTGATTTTTTAAAATTTTTTATTTTTATTTTTTTGGTCAAAATTTTAAAAAGTTTTATTATTCAACAAAAATGTTAATTTAGGATAATTAGAATCTGATGATATTACAAAAAGGGTTTAAAAAGAAATCGGGTGATTTGTTGGGGGAAATATTGGGTGATCAATCATTATTGATTCGTCATTTTCCATCATTAGGTGTTGGGAGACATTTCATGTTCCATCAACAGTCTTACTCAGCAAAATTATTAAACCATGTTTGGAAAAGGGGTTATTAAAACAATGAGTAAATTACACAAAGTTATTTTTATTTTCAAATGGTTTTAATGCATTTTAAAATATAAAAATTCATATACTTTTCATAAAATTCAGAAGAATTTTCTGTTTTTTGAAAAATATATACAATCTTTTTGCATAAATTTAAAAATATCTATAATTTATTGGAGATTATATTTTTGGAGCCTTGAGATTGCATCGTGATATTATAGAGATCGATCATGATGATAAATCTAAGAGGGAAGAAGTTTTTTTAATGATGATTCTCATACTTTTTTTTTTTTAAAGAATCAATGATGAAGGCAAAAATTAAGATGATTCTTTTTGAGATGCATGATTGTCACTTTGCCCGTTCTTCTTGGCATAACTTGAAATCCTAATGCAAGTCCACTGAGCAAAAGTCAAAAGTTTGCCAATCTGTCATGCTAACCAACCTGATTTATAAAAGTGAGAATCTTGTTCCTTATTCCTTGCTCTGTTTTTTTTTTTTTGGTTTAATTGATGGTATTGTTTGATCACTTGATAACAACTTTTATTTAGTAATTAATCAAATTAACCATTACAATTTTTCAGTAGTCCTAAAAACTCAAAGTAGACTCATTAGGTTTTTTTTTTTTTGGGTTATCTTACAAAAAGTCAGATATCGCTCCAAAAGAATCATCGGAGTAAAACAGGCTTTACATATTACTTCATTACGAGATTTTTTTACGTTGGCAGTAGCACTGGAGCTATATATTTATAATAAAATAAATGAGATAAGTAGATAAGAGCAATTTTGTTTTAACTTTAAATAGCTCCAAGCAAACACTAACCCACAGTAGCCATAAGCTAAAGTTTCAAGTCGTAATATAAATGCAAATTTCACTTTTCCTGATCTTACCAACAATCCATCCAACTTCGTAAAATGAAAAGGGATTTTAATTTTTTTTCATTCATAATTTGAAGTTTTTGTTTTGTTGCCTTTTACCTTTTTCTTTAACAGGGCTTCATAGAATATGCCCAAATAAGACAGAAGAAAAATATTTTTGAGAGTATTTGAATAGAAACCAAATTATAGTTTTAGAAGTAATTTTATAATATGCGAAGTAAATACGTGAAAAAATTTGTTTCAATTGCAGAAAAAAAGTTTTTAAAAAATATCAATATAATCCAAACAAATAAATCTAATTAAGGTTAGCTTTATTTTTTGAGATTTGGATTTGATCCAAATCCATAATTCTATATGTATCTGAATAATGATTTCAGTCCCAAACCCGAATCCCCATCAATCCCAACATAATATAAAGATCATTCTCAATGAAGTTAAGGCA